ATAAAATTATTTCTATTAATAATTAATACTAAAATCATAATTTTAAAATATTTTCATATTATTATATAATCAAATTTATAATTTATCCCATAAGTTTTTTATATAACAAAATTGATTTAATTAAAATATTAAATATTTATTGTAAATTAAACTTAAAAAAAAACTAGATATAAATAAGTTTGACGAACATTTAATTTCTAAATATATATTAACTTTTTTTGTTCAACAAAAATAATAAATTTAATTTATACATATTATTATTCTTCATTTACTTTCGAGATTATTAAATTATTAAATTAAATTAATTAACACTGATACAAGAGATACAAAATTAATATTTACTTGTTCAATTTTTTTTAAAAAATTTCATTTTCACTACTATTTACTATAAAAAATTTAATTAATTTAAAACATTTACTAAATGATTGTTTTTACTTTCAGCTGCTAGTCGGATTAATCCGGATGTGGTGATCCAAGCGGAAGAAGTGAACACCGTGAAATCTGTTGCGTCTCCTGTCACCTATGTGTCCCTCAATTCTTCGACTACCACGACCAATGTTAATACCACGCCGATTTCCACGTCGGCCGTGGCACTCACTCCTGGTAGCAGCGAATCGAACACAAAATCACCAAAGCACGTGGCTTTTAATCTGCCAGGCAAAGATACTGGGATCAACGCGACGAACGTTCAATACGTCAACACGTTCGAGAAGAAAAAAATCGAAAGCATCTCAACTGCTGTGACAGACAAATCGGTCAACGCTGGAATTACGTTTACGAGTACGAAATCCGAAGTCGCGACCGAGCCTGTCGTTTCGAGCCCAGCGACGACCAACTCCACGAGCTCGAGCGTACAAAATGTCAATTTCGATAAAGCAACGTCGTCGTCGATGGGTAACAGGTTCACGGTCGATACCGTTTCTGCCAAAAATAAATCTCCTTTGCTCGCCACTACCACGACAGCTAGCAGCATCTTTCAGAGCGTCGCCACTGCTGCGTCAACAGCCATCTCTTCGGCGATTTGTGTCAGCACGACTGCAGTGAACGCGAGAAGCGAGTCGAGTCAAAGCAGCAATTCGAGGACAAATGTTTCGCAGGCTGCAGGGAGTTGCTCGTCAACCTCGAGCGTGTCGACCGAAAGTATGAAAGGCGACACGATCTTCGCATCGTCACGCACAAATCTGGCAACGTTGAGCAATGTCACGGAAAAGAAGGAACAAAAGCCGGGGTTCGCGTCGATCGCCGCCGCGAAAGCGAGCGTCTTGCCGTTCACGAATGCTACTAGCTCGAGCAACGTATCAAACAGCACGATAAACGTATCAAACATGAACACTTCGACGCCATCGAAGTTTACGTTTGGCAGCAACAGCAATTGTCCATCGTCCATCGTCCATCCTGCAAAGTCCGAAGGATTTGTATTCGGATCGATTGTCGGAAACGCGTCGGAAAACAGCGGAGCGTTTGGATGTTCGACGACTACGTCTCGGCCGACTTCGATGATCCCTAACTCGGCGACGCCTTCGAGCATCGTCATGGTTGCTAGCGCGTCTAACGCCGGTTTCGAAGCTCAGGCGAAAAACAGCGGCGTGTCCATCTTCGGATCATCGATAAACTCGACTTTCGCGCTACGTCCCTCCACCACTTTGTCGGCAAACGGTGGAAAAGCTGTCTTTTCTTTCGGCAACGCATCGACGACGACGGCGACAACGACAACGACGACGAATACAGTGACGAATACAACGACGAATACAACAACTATCAGCTCAAACGCAGGCCCGTTCGGCGTCGGAGGTAATAATCCGTCACCGAGTTTTGGAACGTCGTCGTTGTCGTCGTTGTCGTCGTTGTCGTCGTTGTCGACGACCAGCACCACGAACCAGGCTGTCTCGAACGCCAGTTCCATATTTACCAACGCCTCGTCCACTCCGTCGATCTTTGGAGCAACGACAGCCAGTCACCAACCAGTTTTTGGCACGTCGTCTAATTTGAACGGCAACGCAGCGACCTTTGCTCTTGCGAAGAGCACCACGACACCGGTCTTCGGCTCGAACGTCACTGCCACCACCACCTCTTCCTCTGTATTCGCGTCGACGAACGCGATACCGATCTTCTCCAACATAGCCGGAGGCTCGTCGGTGAACACAACGTCGTCGGTAATATCGATACCAGTGTTTGGCTCTAGTAGTACGAGTAGTACAGTCGCGTCGGGGATAAACATCGGCGGTAGCAACTTATTCTCAAGCACGAACTCGACCACGTCGGCATCTGTGTTCTCCACGACGAACAACATCTTTGGCCAGGTGAACTCGTCAACGGACTCGAGCTTCAAAAGCGGCACAGGATTGTTTAGAAATAGCAATAACAGCGGCGGCTCGACATTGTTTGCCTCTTCCTCGGTGCAACCGTCCACGACCTCTACGACCTTTGGCACCGCCAACGTTTCCAGCAATCCGACCGTTTCTACCTTCGGCTCGCACTCGAACGTTCCCGCGAGCAACAACGCGCCTGTGCCGGTGTTCGGCGCAGCCGCCGCTGGCACGCCCGACTTTGCCTCGCAGAGCCAAAACAAAGGGAATCCAGGAACGACGAACCAGCAGCAGCACGCTGGTCCCACCTCGCAGAGTTTCGCCGCCGGTGGAACGTCGATATTCAGAACGGCGGAGAACACCACCGTGTTTGGCAGCTCGAACGACACCGCCGGCCATTTCAATTCGCCAGCTCCGTCGAGCAGCACGTTCGTCGGGCAGAACGTCATCTCGCCGAACCCTACGTTCGGCTCGATAGGAACCACCGTTAACGCAAACGGCCCGCCAGCCTTCAACGACAGCAACAAAGCCTCGCCGTTCGCAACTCCGCAGCAATCGTCGACATTCGGCACTCCGACCATGGCTTCCACTTCCGTCTTTGCCAACGTGAACACGAACGAAAGCAACGCTGTTCCTGGCATATTCACGTTCGGGGCAAGCCAAAAGCCACCGTCGCAACAGAACACCAC